GGAATGAGTCAGAGAGAACACTTGCTCCATTACAGGCAGGGATTGCCTGAGATGTCATCAGGGGCATTGCCAAAATTCCTGCCTCATTTTGAGCCCTCTTGTAGTATATACAATTTTAAACTAAAAATCAGTCTCCCATAAGAGGTATATCTGATTTGCAGAACAAAGCTGGACTTCAGGAAAGTGAGCAGATCATCTATAGTTCTTCCTACACTAATAGTGCAGCCACCTGAAGCAGGGCCATATTTAAACAAGGCCAAAAATCCTTGGATGAACCAAGTTATATGCTGGCTTCAAAAAAAAACCCCTCTCTATTTATCTATTGCATACTGTTTATACAAGGTTCTGACTAAGTTAACTCCAGTACTAGCCTATACCTAGGGCCCAGGTATTACCTCAGTAAGTGAAGGCATATCTTGAAGGGGAAAGTGAGTGATGATACAAGAGACAGCTGCACACAAAAGTTAGATAACAATCCATATTTAACTATAAAATCCATCAAAAAGTAACTAGCAACCAAATGAACAGCATGTTATTCACTTACAGTATCCAGAGTAGATAGGCAGCTAACAACACTCCTAGAACATACATGCTCAAAATAGACATCCCATCTCTAACCCAGAAACTTTCTGAGGTACAAGGAAGCTGCCAATAAAATATAAGGACTTAAGTAAGAAAGTCACAAGTTTAAAAGTTGTCTGTTTTCCCTTCCATTTTCCCACGACTCTTGGCTGTCTATTATTGCCATGCCACTTTTTTTCTTTTCTCGTTCTTATCTATTGTTTTAAATTATTATCTTATGTCTTTTTCTTGCCTCTCTTTTCTTTTTCTTTGCAAAGAAACATGTGTTTTCCTCTTATTCTTCATTGTCTCCTGCAATTACATTCCTTTCAGTTGCCCAACATCCCTCTTTGCTCTTTCCTATATATACATATTCTAAGGGTATGTCTGTACAGCAATTAAACACACACAGTTGATTCAGGCTCAGGAAACTCAGGCTGCAGGGTTTTAAAACTGAGGTGCAGATGTTTGCGGTCTGGCTGGAATTATCCTAATATAGACTACAGCTGGACTTAGGCTCTTTACAACTCAAACTCACATAATATGTAATTTACATTCCTCCCTTACATATCAGCTCCAAGTTTGTCCCACTAAGTCAAACTAAGGCTTGGTCTACACTAGCAATTTATGTTGGTATAACTACATTGCTCAGGAGTGTGGATTTTCTGTATCCCTGAGCAACGCAGTTAAACCAACCTTAATCCCAGTCTAGTCAATACTAGGTTAACGGGAGAGCTTCTCCCATTGACATAGCTACTATCTCTCGGGGAGGTGGAGTACCCACACTGATTGGAGAAGCCCTCCTGTCGGCATACGTAGCATCTTCACTGAAGTGCTACATTGGTGCAGCTTAATCAGTGCAACTACACCACTGCAGCCTTTGAAGTGTAGACAAGCCCTAAAAGACTAAGGGAGTTGTGAGTTATACTAAGTTCCATGCCTGTGGACTAGAAGAAAGGAGTAGTGCAGAAAAAGCAGTTAACAGGAGGGCATAAGAACATGTAAATTAAAGACTTCTGTTTAAACTTAGCCAGGAAACAGTTGTGAGAAGGTGCAAATTAGGGCTTCTCTACACAGAGATTGAAATAATCAAACTGGGTGTAATTCACACCTTCAATTATTTTGGTGAAAGTCTGTGTGTTGATACTTTACTTTCAGAATAAAAGTGTTCTATTCCAATGTGCTGTGAGTTACACATAAATAGAACACTTTTATTCTGAAATGAGAGCATCAACAAACGCAGACTTGCAACAAAATAACTAATGTTCTGAATTAAACCAATTTAGTTATTTTGGTTTCAAGTCCTTACAGTAAATTAGATTCCCTTACATATCAGATCTATGAGTGAATGAGTGCAAGATACTACCCAACACATCACTTCTGATTTAGACCAACACTCTTTATCAGCAGAGGCATTTTGACATCTTCTCCTTGGAAAGAGTGAAAGAGTTAAATCTTTCCAGAATGTAATGTTACTTGAAATATAATATAAAATCTTTGTAAACACACCTCTTTGCATTTTGACAAGTTAAACAAAGTTGCAAGTTCAAAACCCAGTACTATTACCTTAGTATTTCAGCTGATTTGTCTAAGTTGGAAACTTTAGGCTCAAGGATCCTTCCTTGCTTAAAGGAAAATAGGTTTTTGCCTTTACCTGACATCATAATATTAGATAATCGTCACTAATCATGATCTCTGATGTTTTTTCGGCTGCCTCCAAGCAGCAACTTCAGGAATCAAATGATAGACACATGAGTGCAGATAAATTTAAAACACTCATTCTGCAGCTTGAAGAGCTGTTTAGATACTGGAAGTCCGTTGTGTGTTCAGGTTAATTTTAATCAGGTCTAGCCATCTGCTTCTGAAACTGACTTTAGCTAGTCTATTCCTGTTATACTCTGGATAGTGATCCTCAACCTGTGTATCTAGAGCTGGGTTGTAGCACTTTATGATCCCTTACGCAGTATAAAATTCAGTGGTGCAGAAGCCTTGACAGGGGCAAATTGCATCCAAAAAGCTTATTTGTTGATTGGCAGCCCTAATTAAATATCTGGGAAATCTTTAGGCAACATGCAATGTATTTTCTTCCCCCAATTTGGTCAGATGTTTTGATCCAAAGTTTTGTGCTCCCGGGCACACCCAGCAGACATGTATAGCTCTTCCCCTTCTTTTCAGATTCCCTCCAACAGTGCTCATTAGGAATTTTAATTTTGTAATAGTTTATCAGTGATTGCTGATCACTAAAATAATTTTCTTGTATAATACGGCACATAGAAGAAGCAGGTCTATCCAGCTAAATAATATACCATTTGGTTTAATTTTTTTTATGGCATATCCTTTTCCTAGCTTTCCAGAAATGTAGGTTTCACACTAATGAAGGGCTCCTATTGCCATGATCTGATAAATGCACGAAATTATGCCCTTGTTGCCCAATTTACACATTGTATGTTTTCTAGAATAACATAGTGTTGGAATCTCTGATGAGTTAACATACTATCTAAGCAGTACAGACATTTATAAAAGGTAATCCTGGGCTGCCAAACTTAGATCTGGTTTGATGATAACTCATTAATACTTTATTCTTACATATTTGACCTATTTAATGAATCCTTGATTCTTCCCAAATCTTGAAACTTCCTGGCTTCTGCTGTAGATTACATTCTAAATTCTTGCTAAGCAATCAATTCTAATGTTTCTGTTTGTAGACTGAGCTCTAGTTTGTGTGTCAGGAAGAAATATCCACCAATCTCCATGTACAGCACTACAGAACTGGCTAGCAACGATTTGGAAGATTTTCACTTTCCCCAAATGTAATTGATGATGGTTACCACCAAAGAAAGGGCGCTGGATCAAACTGACCAATAGTCTGATCCAAAATGGCAAATCCTATGTTTGAAGATAACAGATAGAAGCAAAATACATGAAGATTTGAGAACTATACAGTCTGAAGACAATGTTGGCAGGAAATCAATAACAGAAATTTTCTGAGTCTATTTTATATTAATGAAAAAAATTCCTTACCTACAGTGCAGATAATTTGTTTGACTGCTCAAAACATCCAGAAATATTTTATAACTTACATTTCTCATTAACATAACAAGCTAATTAAAGCAAATGAAGGTTAATTTAATCATACACAGGTACTGTATTTGAACAGATTATTGCATTTATCTAATAATAGTTTGTCTTTCATTCTTCTATCCTCATTAAACAGTATTCTGAATAATTAGAATATCAGAAATAGCTTTTATAAAGATACAGTATTACTGTATTCTTATTAAGAATTTCAGGTCACCTACAGCATTTATACAAAATGTTACAAATCTAGGCAAAGTACCTCAGGCTATGAAGCAAGAAAGTAATTCTTTATATCACTGTGTGCATTTCTAAGGTCTTTACCATTTGGATGATTACATTATCTCAGTTTTATATTCACTATTCAGGAGGTAAATGTCATCTTGAATCACTGAATCTCAATTTTTTACACCTTTCATTTTGGTTGATAGGCTTTTTACCCATTGTAATTTATTGCTATTACTGATGAAAGTATAAAACTAAAAAACTGAGAGTGTAATCAAGGCTAATGGTGAACCAAATACCATGTGATAATAAATTAGCAAGAAAAACTGCTTTAGAGACAAATTGAGAGGTTTACCATTTCAGGTTGAAAACTGTTACAACAATTGTTTATGTAAAATACAAGGCTGTACAAACAGAATCACATTCTCTTCTTTTATGTAAAAATACTACAACATGTCTTGGCTCTTTATTATACAGAGCTATGGAGAGGCATTTTCACCTTAAGAACCTACACATCTGGCTAACGTATGATAATTGTGGGCTAATGATAATTTTCATTTATCATGACATATAATGCGAAAGAGACCAAACTACTAAATTAGAAGAAACTGTGGCCAAAGCTGAGTGAATTTTGCAGGAAGGCATGTACATTGTTAGTCACTGCTCATAGTTATCCAACGACTATTCCGTTAAATTAGTATAACAAATGAAGACGCTGCAGCGCATTTGAGCTGACTTTTCACAATTATTGGGCTTGCCTTTATGTTCTTGCTGTGAAATTATATTCTGTTCTAAATTTGGTCATTAAGTTTATACAACGACAAGGACAAATACTGCAGTCTTTATTAAGAAGAAACTCCTATGGCAAATCAATGAAACTTTTGCCTGATTTAGGACCTGATCCAAATGTAAAGACTTCCATTGACTTCAATGGCTTTTGAATAAGGCCACAAGTTACAGTTTGGACCAGACTATCTAATTACAGCAAAATCTAAGAATGAAACTGTCATCCTAACTTTTAAATATCCTGAAGCCCTGCATAGTGTTTCTAAAGTCAAGAAACAAAATAATTAAGCATATGATTTTTCCACTTCTCTGCTGTGAAACACTAACAGTATATTAAATTATAGTTACAGTACCTTGGGATACTGTTTGACAGGGATCAGTACTCTTTCTGACAGCTTTATGTTTTTGTTGCTGATGACATCAAGGTATTTCTTTTCTTCATCTTCCTTTTTCCCATCAGAACCCTGAAATTTTTCAATTTCTGAAAAATTTAACAAAAAGAAAGCAATCAGTGAGATGATATTTGTCATCCTCAGAAATTCTACTAGACTTAATATGACTTTTTTTTCTATTTATAAAAAATATTATGGAATTGGACAAAAAAACAACCAGTTGTAAATTTTGAGTTGTCTGGTCTTACTTAAGTCAATTTACAACTGCTTGTTTTTTTTGTCCAATTACATCATATTCTTATAATCCTGCACCATTAATTCCAGTGAAACTAGGATTTGATACAAAGAGTGTTTTTTTAGGGAGGGAGGTTTAAAGCATTCAGCATTTGTTTAATTCTGCTCCCGCTGATGTTGACGGTAGAACCCTACTGATTTCAATGGGGGGAAGAAATAGACCAATGCTGAACATTTTTGAAAACCTCCCCTTTAAACCTTTACCAAAGATTCCATTTAGTTAACCAAATCTGAGAAGAGAAGCACTTTGGCTATGTTTGATGGACCTCTATAAATGAGACTGCCACAGTCAGTAAGATTCGGCTTGTAATTGTTTAGCTTACAGTGAAAGCATTCAAGAATGAAAGAATCATCCTGTCATTACTCTACTGACATTTTCCATGCAAGTGTGATTTTCATAGAGGTCATAAATGATGTTCAGGTCACTTTTCCAAATGAGATCACTTTCTTGTGTGTGTGTGTGTGTGTGTGCACGCACACATCTGTATGTATTTTTTAAAGTGGCTACTGTTAAAACAAACAGTTTTAATCTGCTGATCATGCAATAATAAAATATCCTGTTGACTTTTTAATTTAGATCTTATGAAAAATTGGGATTAATGAGCTACTTATTGTACTGTAGTTAGTAGTTAGCAGTTCAGGACCAACAATTCTTTTCACTAAAAAAGCTTCTTAAACTATTTTTAAGTAAGTATTAACTAATTTGCCCCCTTTATTTACTTGATATGTAAAATTAAATCAAGTGACAAATTCAACTGTTACACTACATAATATCTTTTCTGAACTAAGATCAGGGCTGTTAGGTGACATAGTTCAGTACACACAGGAATAATGATACTTAAAAGCACTTAACAGTCTCACAAAATCACCCTAAAAATGTATTCAAATTCACTTAGTTATGAACAATGTCACATACATTGACAACTGGTAGTAACACTGTCAGCAAAGACTAATGATAAACAGCAACATATCACTTTGAGGAGATGGGTCTAGTGAAAGAGCTTAGTGATATCAGAGGGCATGATTACAAATTCAATATTTCTAGCAATATCATTATTTCTAGTTATTAAGTGTAGCGCCCAGGATATTATAGCTGCTTTCCAAACAAACATTCCAGAAGGGGCATTCCTGAGGCGCTTGCAATCACAAAGCAGAGGCAGATAACCAGAGATGAGTGGAAGGGGAACAATAATTAGCAACGGATATGCAATTACTCAGACACACCTCTGTCCTGGTGCTGACAAAGCTACCACCATCTTCAGTATCTGTGGATAAATGTTGATCTTTTAACATTGACTACTCTAGGTCCAGCCTTACTTAAAACCTTCATTATTGATCAGCACTTAAATGTCACAGTGGTAGACATACACAGACATAGAATGGATCTCAAATAGGGAGGAAACGATGAGTAATTAAATTTTTCAGATGATACTAATTTGAAAGAGAGACACAAATATTATTCAAGACAAGGAAATTGACTCACCAATACTAAAAGAAATAAAATGATTTCCAAAAATGAATTCCAATTTGGAAAAATGCAGTCTAATATACTTGGGGAAAATAAATGTGATACACAATATTCAATGGGAAGGAGAATTCAGGAAAGCAGCATGGCTGAAACAGTATGAGTGATAGTGGACAGTTAATTAGGCATGAGTTTACACAGCAATGTATGGCAGCAAAAATAGCCAGTGCATTCTACAGTGGGTTGGTAAATAGGTATTCTCATACATAGTTCTAATGCAGCCATACAGGGAATATTCAATGTGTGGATTTTCATGATCAGAACAATGGACAAACTCCTGAGGGGGTTAAGAAAACATATAGCTTGTTTGGAAGTTGATTAAGATGACCAAACAGCAAGAAGGAAGAGGTATTATTTAGAGTGGTGCACAGAATCATAAATAGGAGTAATGGGATCAAATTAAGAAAGGGACTATTTAGACTGTGAACCTGGAGATACTTTCTGGCAGGGAGAACGATTAGACTGTGAAATATTTCTAAGGAAAGTGGGGAAAGGCCTGTCACTATGGATATACAAATGAGACTGGGCAAAGCAAATGTAAATGTACAACATGGGTAATTTTGAACCAGCAGGGGAAATGGACTGACATGTCTATCCCATCACTAAAAATCAATGAATCTATCATTTACAGTAGCACTTTTAGTCTTCAAAGTACTTTTATAGATCCCAATTTAGAAAGGCACTTAAGCATGTACTTAACTTTAATTTTGATTTTAATGGGACTTAAGCAAAAGCTAAGGACTATCTTGAATAGGGATGATTACCTGACCTGAGGCTTTAACATTATGTTATTCTCACAATATCCCCGTGTGGTAATTAAAGGAAAATTATTATTTCATAAACAGTAAAATGTAGCCTTTGGCAAGTCACATGGGGCAATATTTTTAAATCCAAGTGTTTATATTTAGGCACTCAAATAAGCTACATCAGGGATCGGCAACCTTTGGCACGCAGCCCACCAGGATAAGGACCCTGGCGGACCGGGCCGGTTTGTTTACCTGCCGCATTCGCAAGTTCGGCCGATCATGGCTCCCACTGGCCGTGGTTCGCCGCTCCAGGCCAATGAGGGCTGCGGGAAGCGGTGGCCAGCACATCCCGCAGCCCGCGCTGCTTCCCGCAGCCCTCATTGGTCTGGAGCGGCGAATTGCAGCCAATGGGAGCTGCGATTGGCCGAACCTGTGGATGCAGCAGATAAACAAACCGGCCCGGCCCGCCAGGGTCCTTACCCTGGCGTGCCGCATGCCTAAGGTTGCCGATCCCTGAGCTACATGATTTTCAGAGGAGATGAACATCGATAAGTCCCATTAACCCCCTGTTTCCTCTGAAATCTCCTCACTATAATCATAGCAAGTAGTCTCTCTTTTAGAATATGTTTTTTTTTTAATTGCTGCACCCATTTTCTTCACTGCGTAAGGCTGAACATTCACATACTGAGAAACATTTCTCACCCTCTATGAACTGCAAAATGTTTTTGAAAATAATCAGTTTAACTGAACAAGTTTATTTTGTCCCCTACTGCTGGCAGTGGACATTTTACTCAGTGGTTGTATAGTTAAACCAATTGCAATCTTGCTGAACTATAGGTTAACCAGTTAGATTTATTTCATTGGACCAACATTAAACATTATTAAAGTGCAGATACTGACTGTTAAACCAGTGCAAGAGTAGATACACCATTTATTGAACTGTATTGCCTACCACTAGTGCAAAAATGATATTGTTTTACATCAAAATTGTTGCTACCAATAATAGGATCAATAATGCCAATTTTCATCAGAAAACTTCCCAAAAATCTGATCTCTGTGACAGTACACCAGTGAAAATCATAAGTGACTCTAGCAATTTAAATCATAGAATATTAGGGTTGGAAGAGACCTCAGGAGGTCATCTAGTCCAATCCCCTGCTCAAAGCAGGACCAATACCAACTAAATCATCCCAGCCAGGGCTTTGTCAAGCCGGGCCTTAAAAAACTCTAAGAATGGAGATTCCGCCCCGCCCCCCCCCCCAGGTAACCCATTCCAGTGCTTCACCACCCTCCTAGTGAAATAGTGTTTCCTAATATCCAACCTAGACCTCCCCCACTGCAACTTGAGACCATTGCTCCTTGTTCTGTCATCTGCCACCACTGAGAACAGCCTAACTCCATCCTCTTTGGAACCCCCCTTTGGGTAGTTGAAGGCTGCTATCAAATCCCCCCTCACTCTTCTCTTCTGCAGACTAATTAACCCCAGTTCCCTC